CCCCCCGTGCTGCTAGCAGATCTACCATGCTCGTATCCAGACACACGAACAAAATCAACGACAGATATTCTGGAGTCCTCCGTTCCCTCAGCGCGCTATACGAGGTAACAACTTAGACTAGGAGTCACCATCACGGGCCGGAGAGAATGAGGTACACCCCCTTGGTTCAATCTTGGTACATCACAACGCAAGCAGACACAAGGCCATCTGGCACATAAAAGGGAGAAAAAGACAGAAAGACAAAAAGCGAAGAAAAATGTGGAAAGAGAGGAAAAATGAGAGGTTGTTCTAGCTTACAAACAGTTTTGACGGTGTTGCGTATGGGGAGAGCGAGTACTCCCTGTGTCCGTGTTGTTCCCAGATGTTGTCGCATCAGGTGGCAGCATGTGTCATGGACAGGTAGACGTGGAAGGGCGGCGACAGGTGAACGGCAGCAGCAGTATGTTGTGCATGGTGGCATATTGGGCTTGTACAAAGACGCAGTCCATCTTCGACCACACACGAAGGAGTTCGTTCGTACCTGTCGGAGTTTTGGAGGGCCCAAGTCAGTCGCAAGCAGCAGTAGGAAGGAGCGAACAGGCGCAGTGCTTCTCAACAGCTTGAGAATCCGTCCTCCTCAAATCCTAACGGAGATGATTACGTATCGCACAACGGCTGAATCCGAATTGCCGGCTAGCTCCGAAAACCAGGAGAGGTGGGGGAGTAGCTCAGACGAATGGCTGCGTGTGCTCTCCTTCATGTGCATACTTGGCTGACTCTTTGAAGGGTAGAATTCTGGTTCGGCGTCATTTGGCGGCATTTCGGCATTTCTAGTATTTGCCATTGTCACCTGGATGCATGGGAATTTTGGCGAGGAAGTCGGTCATAAGTTTCACACTCTACGTGCAAGGGACAAGTTTCATTTTCAGTGTTCCCCCTTGCGGTTTCGATGGTCAAATATGCGGTTGCCCACACATCTTTGCATCGCTACATACTATAATGTGCCTTTTTTTTCATTAGTTTTCATCGTGATATGGTAGGCGCGATGTCTTTTGGCCCCGCCTCCTAGAGATAGTAGCCATCACGATCCCGGCATGGAGTCTCGCTGATGGAGAGCGGGAAACCTTGCAGGATAGGGTTGTAGCAGCTCGTGAGAGATTGCGCGAGCTTGATCGAGCAGGTGAAACGCGACGTTCCGTCCCCGACACACGACCCCAACTCACCGGCGCGAACGGAGGCGGTAGCGCCGGATCGTGTTCGTGCTGTGGAGGCCACTTTGGGCCACCACCACAGGCCGAGGAACTCGAGCCTATCCAGATCCTGTGTGGACACCACGGGTCGGTGCACGCCAACTGCCTGTGGGACAGAGCCGACCAGATAGCACACGGACGCGTGGATCCACGACCATGTGCCAACTGCTCGCAGGAAGGATCGAACGGACGACGACCTCCTCATCCCGCGGAACTTGTCCAGAACTACGAACTGCCGCACGCCGGGGGACGGTGGGACTTCCTGAGGGAGGCAGTGTCTTTCGCATCCGAGATAGAGGGACATTTCGAGACATGGTCTATGTCCGAATCCGGCGCGGACCCGGCGGGGCATTTCGACTCCTTCGAGAGTGTGGTGCGGGCCCACGGGAGAAGTGAGACGGCTTCCTGGCTCCTGGTCACTCTGTTCTGCGACGTATTCGGGATGGACAGAAGCGTGTACATATACTTCCCTCGGGGCCGCAACGAGGACAACGGGTGGGACCGGTTGGTCCAGAGATACCGCTCTACATTTTACGCCCATGGAATACGGCCGTATCAGGTGCTATTGCGGCTCCCCCGGGGCAGAATCTACATTGCGCCACACGTACAGGAATACCTGGTGCACCTGGACCAGGAGTGCGAATCGCATCTCACGTTCTACACGGTAGCAGTACAGAACGCCCTACGCAACCCCGCCCAACCTCTGCCGCCATTCCCGCGGGTAAGGGGGGTGGCTCGGCGCCACGACGACCGGGATGAACACCATGTCCCACCCCACCAAGGAGGCGAAACCAGCAGAAACACAGTGACCGCGACTGTCGTGGCCCCACGAAGGCTGACGGGAGTTGGCATCGACCCGGGCTTTGACATGGGAAGCGGCCCAGAGGAGGAAGAAGGATTGTTGTCCCCGAGGAACCCATCCACAATAGCACACGCCACCAGTCGGACGAGCCCTCAAGTAAGACCCGGGGAAAGAAGCCAATCACTAGGAACGCCAAGGCGGCGCAGACCATCTGCTCGCGAGGGTAGCGGATTATCGGATGACGCTACTACATCGGGTGAACGTCAACGAACTTCCTCGGAACCACCTCAAGGCGGAAACAGGCGACGCCGGCAGGGAAGTGAACCGGATCCAGACGGTGAGTCGCGAGAAAGAGGAACACCATCACATCCGGCACGCGGAATAACGCGGAATAACACACCGGGGAAAGGGCTCGGGGAGGAACGGGTACTCCGGGTGCCGATGACCGAGCGACCAGGAACGGGGACGCTGGAGGAAGCATGGAACCTGGCGCCACGGGGAACAGAAGCGAGCACCCTCGTTCCAGTACCAGATGCGGAGTGTGCTCGGGTCAGGTCATCGAGGGACACCGTGTGGTACAACCCACTTGCGGGCATCCCATCCACGCAAGATGCGTACTATCTAGCCTGGAGGGACGCGGAGAACGCGCGCTGCTTGAGTGTAGGGTGCACGGGTGCGGGGCCCAACACTCTCGGAGGGACAGCCTGCAGGCGGCGGTTCAAGCTGACCCGGGGCTGCAGCTACGAGCTGAAAGACTGAAAAGGGGGTGAAACGACGAACCCCACGGAGCACGTTCGCTGTACATCTGGAACCAAGACAGTCCGGGAATAGGGCCTGCTTTGGTCGATATCAGCATGGATGATCTCACACTCAGGTTCCAAACGGTGAAGAAAGTTCAACCTAGGTTTGCTTCCGACCATGCCCGTCTCCAAACCCACGTGCTCCACCTGGTTAACAAGCAGCTAGCAGAAGGCGGCGGCGCTTCCTTGGCAACCGGGACCCCACTTCCCACTATCCGGGTCATCAAACTTTGGTACCTCCTACCAGGTATTCTGCACTTCTTTGATGGTCGGATAGCCCGAAAAAAACGCTACAAATCGCTCAAAAGAGGGGATATATCGTCCGTGCTTCCTTGGCTGATTGAGTATACCAAGGCGGCGAGTGCAAGGAGCAGGGATCCGGCACGGGAAGACACACCCGACGATAAGTTCAAAAGGGCGGCGCAGGCATGCCGGCACTNCCGAAAAAAACGCTACAAATCGCTCAAAAGAGGGGATATATCGTCCGTGCTTCCTTGGCTGATTGAGTATACCAAGGCGGCGAGTGCAAGGAGCAGGGGACCGGCACGGGAAGACACACCCGACGACAAGTTCAAAAGGGCGGCGCAGGCATGCCGGCACTCTGGAGGCGTGAAGGACGCAGCAAGAGCGCTCCTAGCCGATCAACCGTTACCGGTGAACGACGAGACATGGGCATGATGATCCCGTACAAGTGGAGCAGGCCATCGCCGAAGCCATAGCTGCAAGCCGCACCGAGGAGGAGGAAGGAAGCGCCCCGAGATGGAGGCCAGAAACCGAGTTCGATCCACAAGTACTCCTTCAAGTCATCAACAGCAGAAGCTCTAACTCTGGAGCAGGAAGTGACGGGCAACGTTTCTCCCACCTTAAGTCCATCGCCAACACTAAAATTGGTCGGGAAGAGTTCAGCAACGCGATGTCGTCCCTTTGGAGGAGGCTCATCAACGATCCCAACGCGTTCCCACCGGAGTTCTGGACTCTTTGGAAACAATCCAGTCTAATCGCCCTCGGTGGAAAGTGCCGTCCAGTGTTCATTGGAATGACTTGGAGAAGGCTGATTGCAGCGGGAACGGTCAGGGAGTGGAAACCGAAACTGGAAGAAATATTTCGGGAAGCGGACCAATTCGGAGTGGCGGTAGCTGGAGGAGTTGAACAAGTTGCGATGGACGCACAACTGGTTCATCAGACAGGTCAATGGGTAATCCAGACAGATTGCTCAAATACCTTCAACACGGGCAAGCGCACCGCCATCATGGCTCAGGCCGCAACGAGCGTCCCAGATCTCGTGGGGTACATCGCCAGGTGTTACGACGAAATCCCGGCAAAGGCGATATACACGATGGACTCCGGAGAGCGTCGGACGATCGAGTGCAAGAGCGGTGTGCAGCAAGGAGATGGAATGGGACCGCCCCTGTTCTGCTTCATCCTAGTCGCGATCATCTTGAAGCTTAGAGCCAAGTACGACCACCTCGGGGTAAGCTTGAAAGCTTATATGGACGACATCAGCCTGCACTTCAAAAATATCACAGCGGANGAGAGCGTCGGACGATCGAGTGCAACAGCGGTGTGCAGCAAGGAGATGCAATGGGACCGCCCCTGTTCTGCTTCATTCTAGTCCCGATCGTCTTGAAGCTTAGAGCCAAGTACGACCACCTCGGGGTATGCTTGAAAGCTTATATGGACGACATCAGCCTGCACTTCAAAAATATCACAGCGGAAAATATCCAGGTGATACCGGACCTCGTCGACGAACTAGAAGCTGTGGGCATCATCGTCAACAGGGGGAAGAGCTCAGCGCTTCCCCCACCAGGGCACGACGTGACGCCAGCAGAAAGGAGGCTACTTGGCGATGCAGGCCTACCGATTGCGGAGGAGGGCATCACAGTTGTGGGAGTCCCCATTGGGACGGATGCCTACGTCGAGGATATCGCAATGAAAGTGATAACTGAAGGGGGTGCAGACAAGCTTACTCGCATGCTGGTGCGCATGCCAGACAAACAGGTGGCTCACCTCGTCACATCACAATCGCTGATACAGCGATCCGGATATATCGAGAAAGGCATCAATCATAAGCTAGTGAGAGGGGCTTGTGAACGCCTGGACAAT